GGCGGGGCAGGGCCTGGTCCTTGGCAATATTGGGCATGCAGGGCCTGGAGCTTGGACTGCCCGTCAGGCAGCACCCCCAGGCCACCGTGGCTGTGACCGTGGTGGTGGTGGTGGTGGTGGTGGTGGGTGGAAGAAGCAGATGAGGAGGAGGCAGAGGCCTGGCCCGTTGGCGGTGGTGGCATCTGGAAGGGCCCCTTGCCCCGCTTGCTTCCAAACAGGGAGCCCAGGAAGGATGAGGAGTTGGAGACGGGCCTCTGGCTCTTGTACTCCTCTGGCGGCGGGGGTGGGGGTGGAGGTGGCATCCTCTGGTGAGGGCGTGGACTGCTAATAACAGACCCCTGGAAGCGGGGAAGGGGGGGGAAAGTCAGGCCAGTCTAAGATTTCCTAAACCCCCAACCCTAAACTCCACCCGGTCCCTGAGGGCTGGAGCTGGGGAGACAGGAACGCCCAGGGCGTAATGAAAACCAGTAACAGTCCTGTGCTTTGTACATGGAGCCCCCCAGCTTGCAGGGCTCTGCTGGCGCATCCACTATCTCATCTGAGCCTCCGCTGGGAGAGAAACAATCAGTAGGACCTCCTCCTCATCCCCCTTTTGCAGGCCCCGAGACACAGAGTGACTTGCTCCAGCTCAAAGAGCAGGACTTGGAGGGGAGAGCTTCTCATGGTCCAACTCCAAGGGCATCTCTACTCAGAGTCGGCCCTGGGGTTGAGAGGGGGCTAGGGAGAGTGGAAGACAGACTGAGAGACAGGCAGAGTGAGGACAGACAGAGTTGAGGACAGATGGAGAGAGTGGGTGGCTGGGAGAGGCAGCCTCGAGGTCCCCATCAGGGAAGAGGGGAAGCCACAGGTCCCCGCCTCCTCTGGGGCCCCGTGGCAGGGCAGGGCTCATGCAGAGGGCGAGTGGGGCAGGAGCTGGCACTTACTTCGATGGTGCTGTCCAGCGATCCCACGCTGTTACGCCGCCCCCGCTTCCCTGCACCCACAAGCAAGGAGCCCAGCGTCAGAGCAGCAACCCCCCTCCCCACCCTGCTGGGCTCCAGAGCTGGGCACCAGGCCTGGGCCCCTCCCGGGGACAGACACCCCTATCCCCTTTCCCCCGTTGAAGAGGGGAAGGTGGGGAGGAGGAGAGGTGGAGGAGGAGGCGTGAGAGGAGGAAAAGATGGAGAAGGAGGAGAGGTGGTGCTGGAGAGATAGAAGAGGAAAGAGAGGAGGAGAGGTGGAGCAGCGAGAGAGAGGGGCTAAGACTGTGGCCCCACTTCACACTCCCTGGCCCAGACTCTGGGCTCCACCTGATCTGACCTGGCTCCCGGGCCCCCTGTGGTGCCACGCCCAGGGCTCTGGATAAAGGCAGGGTGCGTGCAGGTGTGGCGGGTGCAGGGAAGGCTGGCGGCCAGTGACAGGAGGCAGAGAGGACACCCGGTCCCACATCTCCCCAGCCAGGGCGGGGGCCCCGAAGACTTGCCTGCGTCAGAGAGGTCTCGCAGGGAACTGCTGAGCGCGCCCCGTTTGAGCCCATCGCCTGCCCCATACGTGTCCTCCAGGCTGCTGCGGGCCAGTGTGCCATTCACTGAGTCCTTGGCCCCTCCGGGCTGTGAGGCGTTAGTCCGCATCATACCTTTCTGCTTCTCTAGCTCCGCTGGGTAGTAGCGGGGGAGACAGGGACAGAAGGTCAGGGACAGGAGTAAAAGGCCACCTGACTGACCCCAGCCCTCCATGAGCCCTCCCCATCCTTGCCTGCTCTCTCCCCAGGCCTCCTGCTTTGCCCCCTGGACAGGCAGCACGCTCCCCCCAAACCTCAGCTCCATCTCTGAAGTCCCCCCCGCCCCCCCCCGCCCCACAGCGCCCCACAGCGCCCAGCCCCGTTTTGTGCCATCTCCCCTGGTTGGGTTTTCCCTCTGTTCCTCCTCTGGTGCTTGCTCTTCCCGCTCCTCCAGCTCCTCCCCCCTTCCTCTCGTTCTCCTTGCTCCCTCTTGCTCCCGGCTCCCCTGCCCACTCTCAGTCTGCTCTTCCCAACCCACCCCTGCCCTTCAAAACAGAGCTTCACAGCTGCTGGTCACAGCAGGGGCAGGAAGGCCCTTGTGGATTACAGCAAAGGGCAATCCTTCCAAAGTCCGCTCAGTTCTCAGATATCTTGCTCCACAGTCCAGGGCTCCTGGAAGTACAGGAGCAGGAAACCAACAGGAATCGAAGCCTCTATTATTATGTGCCAGCTGTATGCTGGGAGCTGTGCGTACTTGATCTCGCTCCATCTCACAACAGTTCAGAGGTAAGTATTATCATCCACATTTTTCAGAGGAAGAAACTGAGAACCTGAGAAGTCACAGAGCTTGCCCAAGGTCATACAGCTGGAAATGGGGGAGCCCATATTCTGGAAGCAGGTCTGCCTGAGTCCAAAGCCTGCATTCTCCAGCCTCTTTACACCCCCACCTCTCCGAGGAGGTCATGGAGACTTCTATCGCCTTCCCCCTCATCTTGGTATGCTCGCCCCTCTCCTGGGTCTCAGGGATCTTGTGAATTGAAATGTGTGACCCTGCCTTGCTGAGGAGTAGCGTCGACCCTGGGACGTTGAAGAGCTCACCAAGCAGCTGTCCACTGCCTCAGTTTCTCTCTCTGTGTCTGCCTGTCTCTTTCTCCTCAACACCATGTTACTTAACTGTGACTGCTTAGCCTGGAGAAGAGAAAACTTGGAGGGCATCGAGTGGAATGAGATGTGATCTCTATTTCCCATTATATATGCTGAAAATGACTTGATGTGGCCCTCTGGGGGCCAGAAAGATGGGCGATGGGGACTCAGCTCAGGAACTGGAATGTGGGAAGAGGACACCTTGTCTACCTTACCTCATCGAAATGCCACAACTCTGTGAAGGAGATTTCATCTTCCCAATGTCATGTATGAAGAAATTGGGGCTCTGGGAGTCAGGCAACTTGCCCCGGTTTACCTAAATAATGAGTAGCAAACCTGGGATCTGAAACTGGAGTCCTACCTCCAGAACCCTGATTCTTCTCCCTGCTGCCTTTCAATAGAAGGAAGAGTTGGTTCATAATTAGGGCCTGGAGTAATAATCAGCCATTCAGAGGTAATGAGCCCTTTGTCACTGAAAGGTTCCTAGAATGAGGGTAGGAAGGCTGGACAAGCTAACCCTCAACTCTGAGATCCTCAGAGGACAGGATTCTTGGTGTCTGCAGGCTGCTGTGTCAGGAAAAGGGGAAAGAGGCGCCGCTGGGCTACTCACACTCCACGCGGTATTTCTCCATCTCCTGCACCTCGGCAATGGACTCGCGCAAGTCGGACGTGAAGCGCAGCCGGTCCTGGAGGCTGGGCGCATTGAAGATGATGAGGACTTTGCGTTCCCCGCCAGGTACTGCGGACAGCAGCTTGATCCCAAACTGGTAATCTGTGCGGAAGGGGGAGGTCAGGCACCTCTGTCAGGACTGAAGCCAAGTGGCTCACACGTGCATTGGTTTTTCTACTGTCCAACTCTGATCCAGCCTCCTCTCTGCTCAAGCATCTTTAGCGGCTCCCCTTTGTCCCCCCGAAGCCCCCAAGCTCCTGGTAGTCATGGCCCCGTTACTCCCTATACTCCAGATACGAAGGCAAGCTGGACTCGAGCTGCTCTCTCGAACCCCTTCCTTCACACCTCTGCCTCTACTCACATTGCTTCTGCTGCCACCCAACAAAGCTCCTCTGGCTCAGTCCTTCAAAGCGCAGCGTGATCACCATCTCTTCGGCCCACCAGAAAACATACACACCGCGGTTCTCGGCCAGACCACGAGTTCCCCAGGGCATGGACCCCAATTATACTTCACCCCAGCCTGCCCTGCATCCCAGGACCACGTAGGTGCTTTGGAGACCTTAGTCCCATTGTAAAGGGCTCCAAAAAGCTGGTGGTTGGTATGGATGAAGGAGGAGCACAGGGGCCATGGCATAGACTTTTGGGATGCTGGGATCCAAGAAGGGACTCACATGAATTCTGGAAGAGCTGCATGTGCATTTCCACGAGAGGAAAGGACTGACGGAAGCTGTACGTCACCAAGATCTTCTTCTTCTGGAAAATTTTGGTGACCTTTGGCAGGGGGCGGGAAAAAGACAAGAGGCAGGGTTTGGGGTGGGGAATTTCCACATGACACCTATTTCTCATAGCCACCCTCCCCTCCCACCGCCACTAGCAGACATAAACACACAAACACACATACCCACGAGTTGGGAAGAACTGAAGCTTGAGGAGCAGAACGGGAGAGACGGGAGAAAATGCAAGTTCCTCATGTAATGACGACGCACAACAGGCATTTACGATTTTTACAGGAAGTAACTGAATGCTGTTCTCTCCAGAAAGCCCGTTCTATATCTAACACCTCACACGGACTCCCCCACCCTGCTCCCTTCCGGGAGCTTCCAGAGTGCTGCTTCGGTGCCTTTCACCATGAGGCTTTAGGTGAGCACTCTGAGGGTGTGGTCGCCCCCTGCTGGACCGGGAGCGCCAAGAGGAGTCTGGTTTTCGTGTTTCTTGCCCCCCCCCCATCCCCCCCCAAAGAACCCAGCAAACAATGGCAAATGCCAATGAACCCATGTCTAGAGTTAACGAGTCTTCCTCTCAATAGCCCAAGGTCTTTATCAAGGACTTGGGCACTCTGGATTTGACCACCATAGGCTGTGAACACCTCAGACAGTCTCCAAGTGGTGTTCAAAAGTAAAGTATTTCATTTCAGGACAGTTACAGCACACGGTTATGCAGAGCATTTTTTTTTTTTTTTTTTTTTTTTAGTCCTTCAGACTGTGAGCTCCCGAGAGCAAGGACTGAGTCTCACTCATCTCTGTGAACCCAGTGCCTAGCATGGGGCTGGACACACACAGGCGTCAGTGCGTGACAGGTGGTGAGACATTTACTCAGCACCTGTGTGGGCCAGGCACTCCTCTGGGTTAGGCTATTCCACATCTGACTTCTTAACTCCATTCTCATGACAACCCCATGAGATAGGGATTAGCCCCACTTCACAGAGGAGGAAATTGAGGCTTAGAGAAGGCATCGGAGGGGCTTCATCTAAAGCGGCAATTCTCAACTAGGGGTGACTTTGAACCCCGGGGGACATCTAGCAACGTCTGGAAACAGTTTTGGTTGAAGGAGTGCTTCTAGTATCTAGGAGGTCGAGACCAGGGATGCTGTCCTCCAATGCACAGGATAGCGCCCCCCCCCAACAAAGAAGAGTTATCCTGCCCCAAATGTCAATAGTGTTGAGATTGAGAGACGCTGTTCTAAAGAAGAAAAGACCACGGGGGTGGGGTGGTGGTGGGGAGACAGGTCACTGTCCTCAAATCCCTGAGGAGCTGTCTCAGAGCAGGAGAACACTTGTTCTCTGTGATTGCAAGGGCCCAGGGAAGATGGTTAGAGGAAACCCATTGGGAGACAGTTTCTATCAGTCAGAGCTGTCTAACCAGGAAACTGTCTCCGCAGTGATGCAAGCAGGGGGCCATGCAGGAAACTGGTTCTTGCCCCGGGGAAAGAGGTTGGACGGGAGACCCTGAAATTCTCTTCCCACCAGCAGGGTCCTTAAGAGTCCCAGCTCTAAAAGATGCACGTCTACAGTGGTGACGAGCTTGGTTTTAAGACTCACTTCCAGCATCCTGACCACCCGAAGGTTTCAGAGTGACCCCAGGGTCACAGGTTCATCTCCTTCCAGCCAACACTCTGGGCTACGGAGATGGACAGGGACTTTTCCTACCGCTTCCCAGGTTGTATGTCTGTCAACTCCCCTGGTCCTCACATTTTCTCCCCCTGTGGCACTGTCGCCACCTCCAAATGGATCCGAGAGGGAAAAGAGGGGCAGAGGGGGCCTGTGCCTTATCCGAGACTGCGCAGATACCATGGCAAAGCACCTCACCCACCACGCCCCCACCCGCCAACGTTAACATGGTTCACCCCAGACCCAGGGTCCAAGCTCACCACCTCCCCTTCGTTTCCGCCCCCCACCGCCCCAGTGCTCATACCACAAGGAGATCGTTGAAGAGGAAGACTTCCCGCTGATGCAACCCTAGCCGCTGGGGGCGGTTTGGATCTGGCACCTCATAGAGTTGACAGCAGCAAACCAGTCGACGGTGGGGAAGAGACAAGACCTAGGCAGGCATGGGGAAATAGGAGTCAGCAAGGCTAGCACGCCAGCTTCGGGCCTCCGGCACCTTATCATTCAACCTCAAGAGGAAGTCTACCTCTGATCTGTATCACTGTCACTCTGACACGAGGAGTCTGAGCAGCGGAGGCCTGGGCTTGCCTTTGTCCGTAGAGCTCTCTCTGTCTGGAGTACCTTTCTTGCCCAGTTCCATATTCCACTCTTCCTCCAAACCCCAGTTCTAGTGACTGAAAATGACCTCTCCCTCCTTGCTGCTCCCTTAGACTGACGATAAGGCAGACGTATTGGGCTGACATCCCCACTCCCAGTCTGTGAATGCCCCCAAGGATGGAGACTCTGTCTGATTCGTATCTGTGTCCCTACTCCCTAGTGAAATGCTGGGCTCTGTGGAAAGGCATCTGTAAATGTTTGTTGACTACAAGACCAGAGGGTGTTCTTGGTTTTGGTTATCAGCTAACTATTAGCTTGGCTCCTCACCTGGGATGGAGAGGCAAAACCACAGGTGGGAAGGATGTGTGCTAGATTCATTCCGCCAAGAGGGTCTCACTCTGCACCACGACCCCTGAGGAATGCATTATCACCCACTCCATCAGAGGGGGGAGTCTGGGGCTCAGAGAGGGGTACTGACTTACCTATCACTCAGTGGCAGAAGCCGACTCAAACCCTGTCCCCTCTGCAGCCTCCCAAGGCACTCACCGGTTTCTTGCCCACAATCATGCGCTCCACGGCCTGCACCTGGGACACATGGTCATCATTGGTTCGCAGTTCACGCCCCTGGATACGCTGGTAGATGCCCACGAGGAGGTCTCGGGGGATGTCCTCACCATTGTCAACCCCTGGGGAGGGGAGCGACACAGGGATATATTGCATGATGTGGGGAGTGGGTGGCAGGGGTTCTCCACAATGTCCCACACTGAGGCAGGAGTGCAAACAATGGCTAGGACTGGAGGGAGCGGGCACCCTCAGTCCCCTGGTCAGGAGGACTGGGCCAGAAAAGGCGTCCTTTGCCAAGCAACTGGATAGTAGCAAGTTGCCTTCTTTCCCAGTGTGGGGATTTTTTTCTAGGCAACTCAGAGCACACTGTGATGAAAATAATCAGATAGCTTTGCCTTTCTAACTAGCAAAAATAATGTTAAATGATATATCCAGTGTTAATAAGGGGGCAGGGAAGTGGGCACGTATATTAACATAACTGTTTCGGAAGGTAACTTGGCAAAAGCCTAAATATTCCGTGATTCTTTTTCTAGGAATCTGCTCTAAGGAATTACTCAGAAATATGTGCAAAGATTCAGGTACGAGTGCTACTTACAGGAAAACTTCGAAACAACCTAAGTTCTCACAATAGAGGCATAATTAACTAAAGCTGAGTGTATCCACTTAAAATAATTCACAGCTATTCAAAACTTGATGTTTACAAAAAGCATGAGAAAATTCCTGTAGCAAGGTAAGTGGGAAGAGCAGGGTAATAAATTACATTCCTGGCATGATCTTAACTGTATAAAAAGTTACATATGCATAGGGAAAAAAAGACTAGAAAACAGCAAAATATCAACCACGGTTGCCAACAGGGGGCAGAATTCAGGATGATTAAACAATTTTTTCTCATTTGCTCTATTTCCATAATTTCTGGGTATGAACAAGTATTCATTTCGTTTGTTTGTTTGCTTATTTATTTAATAATTGGAGGGGCAAGAAACACACATATATAATACATATATACATATACATGTACATACATACATTTATGCGTACGTATATATATTTGTATATATGTATATGTGTATATATGTATATATATTTGGAGAGGTACCGCCTCTCCAAACACACACACAATACATATATACACATATATGTACGCACATATACACATGTAAGCACATATGTATGTACATATATGTGCGCACATATGCGCACGCACATATACGAATGTGTGCACACACACACATACATACAGAGAGAGGAGGAGGGAGGGAGAGAGGATGGGTGAAATGAATGAATGAATGAATGAATGACTAATAGCAGGATTCTGGGAGACAGCTCCAGATGGCCTCTGATCTAACTCCCTCCTCCTAAGTCTACCATCCTTCTCCACTCCTGACTGTCTGCTGAGTGAAACCCACTCACTCTTCCCTCTAACCCTCCTGCTAGAGAAAATGTTTTCTCCTTTGGGAATGCCACGCCTCCTCCTTGGACAGGTGCTAAGAGAACATCCTTCCTCACACCGCCTTTTTACCTCAGCTGCCAAAGAGCTTGAGCCCAGCAACCGCGCACAGCCTGCCGGTCAGCCAATTTGTCTCATCTGTTTGTTTTTCCTCAATTCTATTTCCCTCGTTCATTTCTGTTTAAATAATCCTAACGCCTGCGCCATTTTTCGTAGGCTGCTCTTTGGTGAGATGCCAGGGCTTGACATCAATACGATAAACCAAGAAAAAAACGTCAAGGTGACACCTTTCACCCGGCATTCAAGGCCCTCACATATTGATTCTCACTGACCTTCCCATCCTGACTGTTCTCCCAACACCTTTTCCTACCTCTGTGCCTTTGTATTCTTACCGCTAGGTAAGCCTCCTCTATTACTATTCTGTCACATTATCCATGCCTTCAAGGCCCACCTTAAAATGAAAATGCTACTTCCTTCAGGAAGTGTGTTGGAGGTGGGATCTCCCTCCTCTGAGCTCTGACTGCACTTTTGGCCCGTCTGACATCACGATTCGCTTTTTCTCTTGTGTTGGGTATCTGGTCCTCTAAGTCAGTCTGTCCCACAAACAGACTGTCCCCGAGCTCTCTTGGGGCAGGGGCCATGGTGTCCTTAGTGCCCATCACAGGGCCGGGCACACGGGAGGCACTCAGTCTCAGCTGGCTGGCTGGCTGGCTGGTCAAGGGACTAAGTGAATGCATGGATGGAGGAAAGGGTACAGAGAATAATTAAATAAGCCTTTATGGGCATAAGTAAAGAGGAGTGGGAAAGAGAAAGTGATGCGTCAATGAGTGGATTAGTATAAGCTCTGTAAGAACCAGGGCTTTTCTCTCTCACGTTCACTGCTGTAATAACCCCAGAACCCACTAGGTCAGTATTCGGTGCAGGAATGAGCAGACAAACGATATTTGAGTGAATTAATAGGGGAATGTGGCAGCTTTGGCAGAAAATGAGAGAACATCACAGGCTCATTTCCAGGGAGCCTGTGTGATCTCCCCCCTCCTTCCCTAGCCCACCCCCACCCTGCCCACTCTCCCTTCCCAGGTGAAGGATGGGACAAGCCGATAGGGAGGTCTGGGGTCACCTCTCAGGTTCTTGATGAAGTCATCTAGTTTCATCTTGCGTTCAGCCTTGACGCTGGGACTGTACATGTCGGTATTGAGGAGGATGATAGCGAAAGCAAGGATGAAGATGGTGTCTGGGTTCCGGAACTGGCGCACGAGGGCTGGGTTACACACACAGTACCGCTGGCTGCAGGGCAGGATCAGGGCCAAGGTCAGGCACCAGTGATCTTCACCTACCCACCATCCCTCCCCCCACAACCCAGTCTGGTGCCCCCAACCCTCTCCCCCAAGAAATATTCCCAAGCCTTTCGGGCATGTCCTCTTCCTTCGGTTTCCCCAAGACTAGCATGTAAAAATCACAACCACTACCTTTTATGGAGCTCTGCTAGGGGACTTAGGTACGTTGTGTCATGTAATCCTATCACAATCCTGCAAGGTAGCGATTAGCAGCCCCATTTTACAGAGGAAGTAATGAGGCCCAAAGAGAAGAGGTAACCTGCCCGAGATAATAGAGCTGGCAAATGGCGAAGACAAGATGAAAATCCAGATCTTTCTGACTATAAGGCAAATCCTTCTGCCATTATGGGCAACAGGTTCTTGGCAATTCTTCTGTTTCTCTGCTACCTACCCTGACGTGGTGGAACCAGGATTTCTATCCAGGTCTGCCTGATCCCCAAAGCATGAACAGTAGAGGAGAAGAACTAAGGGTGTTGGGGCACGGAGGCAAACACACCTGAGTTCAAATCCTGGCTCCGCGTCTTACTTGCTGTATGAGCCCGAGCAAGTTACTTAACCTCTCTAAATTTCCGATTTCTTACGTGCAACATGGGAATAATAATGAAAGCCCCTACCTCGTAGGGTTGTTGGGAGTATTCGGCGAAATAATCGTATACAGTGCCTAGCTCAGCACCTGATACCTGGTGAGTAGTTGATAAGCACTAGCTGTAGCTGCTCTTGTCACCTGTTGGACGCCCACCCCAGGTGCTGAGCTGGACGCTTTAGGCTCACTACCTCTGTTCCTCACAACTGCACAACTGCCTGGCAAGACAGGACTTACGATTGCCATTTTCTGGTCAGGAAAGTATGGGGCTCGGAGAGGTGAGGGAAGAGCCCCCTGGAAGGAGGGAAGCAGCTTCGGGAGTGGGAGACAGGCACACCTGAAGGCTTCGATGAGTCGCTCTACTTTCTGGGCCTCGCCTTGAACCCGGATGTGGGATTGGAACTTCCGGAGTGCGTCATCCAAATCCATGGAGGAGAAGTCCATCTCATCCACCACACAGCTGAGGAGCAAAGAAGTAGGTATGGCACTCTCAAGTCCTCTGTAGAAAAACCTCTGCCCTACCCTGACCTGCCCGAGTGGACAAACGCCCCCAGGGCCAGACTGCTAAAATCTGGACCCATGGCCCTCGCATCCTTACGAGGATGGAATGTTTGAAATGGAATCCACCCCAGAAAAATCAAGGCCAGACACATGTTACTAAGGGTCCTTTCCATTGACCCACTCTTTTCAGAGTTCGGAAAACTGAGGTCCAAAGCAGGTCAGAGGACAAGCAGGGCCACCCAGAAGACTTTTAGGGATAGGGCTAAGAGAGATCAAACCTTTTTGAAGTATACAGGGGTATGGGAGCAGGAAGATCTCTTCATCCTGTTTTGTAAGGTTTATCGGAGTGAAAAGGACCAGCTGCCCACTTCCTCCCTCCTGCCCTCGTTTTCCAGGAATCCCTGGCCCAGTCTTCCCCATCCTGGGGTCCTCACTCCAACACGTCTCTGTTGAACTGCTTCTGCCGGTTCCCTAGGAATTCCCCTATCATCTGCCGGCTCAGGCCTTTCCGTTCCAGGATAAAGTGAGCCACTCCCACCGGTGTGTCTGACAGGAAGCCCCGCTCAATCAGATACTGGATGCCCTTCTCTGGCTTCCTGCAGAAAGAGGGGAGGTAGATGAGATGACTGTCCTCAGAAGAACTCGGCCGTCTGTCCCACTGCTTGAACTAATTTGGGGCCCAACCATAGCCTCGGAGAACCAAGGAAGTTGAATATATAATTTGGTCCAATCCCTTCACGGCACAGATGGGAACACTGAGGCCCAAGGAGAGGAAGCCACTCTCACAGAGCTTCCAAATTCCAAGGTATCCTCAACCCAACTCCTTCCTTCCCGGGAGCCACACTATGATGGAAAGAAAATTAAGATCTAATGAGAGGCTGCTCTATGCCAGGGCCTTCCATACTCCCAGCAGGCACAGGGGACTCCTGGGAAAAAGGCCTGAGCTCCAGGCTACGCCCTTTTTTCCAGGTCACAGACCCTCTAAACAGGAAAGCAAAGAGGTTACTTTGTCTGCATCCCACATTGAGCCCAGACAAGGTATTACCCAGCCTCTGTGGGTGGTTCAACCGACAAGTTACGCCCTGCTTTCCACGAGGCCAAATCCGGGTCTGAACTGTCCCATATTCAGAACCCCAGAGCCTGAGGCCCCCCCACGAGACTGGAATTTGGAAGAGACTTTGGTGCCACCGGAGTCACAAGTCCGTTACTTACCAGTTGTATGACTCAGGACAACTCCTTTTACTTCTCCAAGCCTCAGTTCCTTCTCTCTAAAATGGGGACACTACTTCCCACCTTCCTGAGCTATTTCGAGAAGTAAATACAGGTAGCAGTGTCTACTAGACTATGAAGACACAGGCCACTCGCTTTCTCATTCTTTTCTGACCAAATGTCACACTTCCACCCGGCTCCTAAGCACCTGGCACAAGACCAGGCATCTAGAAAGAGCTGGGTCATGGTCACGGACTACTCCAGCACCCCACCTTGGGCCCCCAGCACCTCAAATATACACACCCTGCTAATCAATAGATGGAAGCCCCGAAGCCCAAGGAAGGAACACACCTTGCCCAGAGCTGCACACAGAGTTTGGCCGAAGTCGGTTTAGGGGTCCAGGGCTCCTGTGACTCGGGGCAGGGCTCTTGATACCTCACATCGCCTCCCCACCATAAAGTGGATGTGGGGGAACCAAGGTTCAGAACCCATCCCTATAGACAGCGAACTGGGGAGAAGGAATCTTCTTGCCCAAAGTCCCACAGCCAGTCAGAGGCAGTATTAGGCCTAGAGCTGCCTCTGACAGAGGTAGGGGTGTGTGTGCGTACTTGTGTGCGCGCGCGCGCGTGTGTGTGTGTGTGTGTGTGTGTATGTGTGTGTGGTGGGGAGGGCTTTCTCTTCGGCCGCCCTGCTGCCCATCCTCTTCCCCGAAAAGGCCAGGGAGAAAGCCCGTCCACAAAACAAGACGGCCGGCGGAAGCAGGGCCTCTGCTTGGAGTTCAGCCCCAGCGGTCCGAACGCCCCTAGCAGGGGAGGGAGGGCTGAGGAGGCAGGGGAGGGAGCACGTACTTGTTGAACAGGTTGAGGCCAATTCTGTAATGCCGCCTCTGCACCACGTCGTTGTTAAAGGCTGGCGAGTCCCAGCTGTGCCGCGTCTCCCGCTGGTAAGTCTGCTTGCACAGGCCTGTGGCTGGAGGCTCCCTCAGGCTGTCCCTCGAGGAGGAGCCAGAGCTGCAGTTGATGGTCTCGTTGGAATTGCTGGAGCTCTCGAGGCTCTCATTATCTCCACCATCAGAGTTCTCGCCTGCTGCCTCGCACTTCCCCAACCTCCGACCCCCAGCCACACCACTGGGCCCGGTGCCACTGTTGGGGGCTGGGGGCAGGGGCCCTGGCGGGGCTGGGGCTGGGCCCTCCGGGGCTGGGTAGTGGCGGTGTGGGATCGGGGCCCTGCCCGGTGGCCCCTTGTGCTTCAGGGTCCCATGGGGGCTGCAGCCATCAGCCTCATACACCAGCTGGCGGTGGACAGAGCCGCGATCTGAGCGGTCGCTCAGGTCCACGGAGCTGTCACTAGGAGGCTCAATGGTAAGCAGGGGGAGGTGGGCGGCCCGCAGCCGGAAATCCCGGCACTCCAAGCACCCAGGACCCCTGCGAGTGCCTTCCTCACGGGCACCATCTTCCCGGGTCCCTGGTGGCACTGGTGGAGGAACTGGCGGGAGAGGGGCTGGTGCCCAGAACTCGGGCCGGCCCTGGGGTGGGGGCTCTGTGCTGGGCAGTCGCTCAGGGGATGGTGGGGGAACTGGGTCATCCAAGTAGAGGGGAAGATCACTGAAGGATGTGGCCGAGCTGTCCTCCTGCTGTTCCTTTGACTCCCGCTTCTCCAGTTGGGCTGACCCTGGCTCCTCAGACATGGGCCCTGATGGGTGGCAGTTCAGGGCCTCATCAATGGATTCAGCCAGAGACTTTACCTGTGTGGGCGGAAAGGGGAAGGGGGAAAGGGAGAGAAAGGAAGGAAAGATGAAGGGAAGGAGGGTGGGATGGTGCAAGGGGGGGAATGAGGAAGGGGGAAAGGGAGGGGAGGAGGGAGGGAGGAAGGGAGGATGGGAGGGAGGGGAAAAGGGGGAATCTTCCTAATGGGTCAGCCAAGAAGAAGTGGGTCCCCTCCCCCGCCTCCATAGGTTCTCTGCAGTATATGAAACAACTCCCAGGGAGCCATTGTGAGCTCACAGGAGCTGGGTAATGGTGCCAAGTTCGCTTCTCAAATGTCTCAATACCTCCTTCATGTCCCTATAGACCCAAGCCAAATGCCACCTCCTCCTTGATTCAATCCATATTTCTTGCCTCTGCCATCCCCCAGGGTAAACCCAAATCTCGGCTTCCTCCGGGCTCCCAGAGCCCTCCGTCTGGTTCTGTCTTAGGAAATGCATAATATTTATTATGTGAGAATCCAAACCATGGCTGGTAACTCGGCTTCTCTGCGGTATCCAGCCTCCAAACTGGTCTCTAATGATCCCTACCTCTTGGTATCTACACCCTTATGTACCACACTGTCCCAGGCGTGGTCTGTGGAACCAACAGTATATGGCAGAAGGGATGGGATGTCACTTCCGAGATTAGGTTATGAAAGACTACAGCTTCCTTCTTGAGCACTCCTGTTCACTCTGCTCTCGTGCTCTCTCTCTCTCTCTCTCTCTCTCTCAGACCCCTTGCTCTGGGGGAAGCCACACCATGAGCAGTCCTATGGAGATGCCCACATGGTGAGGACCTGAATCCTCGTGCCAGTAGTCAAGTGAGTGAGTTTGGAAGCAGACCCATCAGCCCCAGTCAGGTCTTCAGAGACTGTGGTCCCACCCTACAGCCTGATTGGAGCCTCATGAGAGACCCTGAGCCAGAACCACCAGCCAAGCCACTCCCAGGTTCCTGGCCCTCAGAAACTGTATGAAGTAATACATGTTTCTTGCTTAAGCTCAGTCTTTAAGTTCAGTTTTAAGCTACTGAATTCTGGGGTCATTTGTTACACAGCAATGTAACTAATACATGTAACTAATGTACTTCTCCATTGGATGTGGACAGCACTGATAGCTGGCCCCAGGCCTGGTTCCTCAATCTCTGCACCAGACTGTGATCCCCTCTCCCCCATTCTCCCCGATCCTTTCTCATGGCTTGGAGCACACTATTTCAGGAGACAGCCACGCACACACGTCTGCCATTTCCTACTGGCCTCGTAGATCCTTAAGAACAAGGACCCTGGAAGGCTCTCATCTGTCTCTGTCACGGTACCCAGCACAGAGCCTGGTCCCTAGGAGTGCGGTATAAGGGAAAGGGCACAGAGTTTGGAACCAGACAGAGCTGAGTTCCACTCCAGCTTGGAGCAGTCACTTCGCCTCTCAGGGACTTGGGGCCTCAGTCTCCTTCTCCGTAAAGCTGGGAAAACACCACCACCACCATCACCCCCCCACGCCGGTCTTGCAGACTGTTATGAGGCACACCCAGCCCCTGGCACACAGTAGGAGCTCATCACTTGTGAGTTAGGCCTGAACTTGACAGTGGATCAAGTTCCAAAGAGTGGGAACGTAAATTTTCTTATGTGTTCTCCACACCTAGATTTTTAACTTGCTTCTTTTAACGATCTGATCCTTTCCTCTGGCCAAATCTTTCTCATCGATCTCACAGCCCCTCCTCAAATGCTTGCCAGGCAACTCCTTTTGGTATGGAATATAGGTAAAGAGCGGGAGGAGTAGCCAGCGCATGGGGATGGGGTTGGGGAGGAAAGGCCCTTTGCAGGGATGCTGACCTGTTTGGAGAAGGAGTCCTCGAGCTCTGTGATGTCATTAGAAAACTCTCCGGATGTGGTGACAGAGCTTCCGCCACCATCGATGCCCCCTCCACAGGAGCCTCCGTAGGGGAGCCCTCGTTCGAGCCGGTGGCTCCGAGCACCAGCCATGGCGCCCTCGTCCAGCGAGGCAGGCTTGCCCTCGAAGTACGCGGGGTTCTGTGCCTTCTCGTACTCTTCGAAGGAGAACTGCATCCTCATGTTGGAAAGGATGATGCGGCGGGACATGCGGCTCTCTGAGGCTGAGCTGCGGAGCCGCTCAAAGTTCTTGTTCATGCGGTACTGGCGAAAGGCCGTCTGGATGGTCCTGGCAGCCCTGCGGCTCAGGAAGGAGCCCCCATACTTCCTCTCCAGCATTTCCACCTAGCAGGGGAGGGTCGAGGGGAGCAAGGTCAGAAACTCACGCCAGCCTCATTCATCTCCCTGGGCCTCAACCACACCACCGCCCCCCCCCCCCAGTCACAGCGAACTGCCTAGAGTTGCCTGGACATGCCAGGCTGGGCTCTGTGTGGTGTCCTCACTGTAATCTTCGATAGCGCTTGTCACATGGGGCTGGGTTGTGGTTTTCTTTCTTATTTACAAGAAGTAGAGGTACATTATTCAAAAAAAAAAAAAAAGTTCGAAAGAAAACCCAGAGAAGCCAAAAATGGAGAGAAAGTAAGAAATAAATTGAGAGCCGGAAGGAGGAAAGGAAAGAGGAAGAGAGAGAAAGAAGATGGAGAGGAAGGAAGGGAGGGGGAGTGGGGAGAGAGGGAAAGAAAGAAGGAAGGAACAAAGAGAGGAAGGAAGATTGGTTTGCCTGAAGTCCCGATACCTAGGAATAACCACCATTAACATTTTGGTATATGTCCTTCCAGGTTTGGTTTTTGGTTTTTTTTTTTTTTCTGTACATGGTATTTTGTGCCCCCCCCACCTTTTTTTTAAGCTAAATGATATCTTGTGTGATATATGTGATATAGTATAGCACACTCTTCTGAAAGTGTCAAGATATGTGTGTGTTTCTCCTATTTGACAGATTTTTGGAGGACTGGGTCCGGGTCTCATTCATCTTTATGTCTCCAGTGCAGGCTTGGAGCTCAGTCGGTGTTTGTTGAGTGAACAGGAGACTCAGCGGATGGGTGGTGAATGAGTGGGTGAATCCCCAGTAGGGTGAAGGATCTTAGAGCTAGTCTCCCATTCTAGGCTCCCTATCCCTCCCTGGATACCACCCTCAAATGCCACATCCCGATCCCTCCCTTGGTTCTCTTGCACCCCCATTCCCGCTCCCAGCTCCCATTCCCAGCCAGAGCCATCTCCTCTGCACCTTCTTGTCCTGCAGGTCCGTGGAGAGTTCATAGCTGTCCGATAGGGCCTTGGAGCGCTTTATCTCCTCCTCCTCCTGCTTCCTCAGGGCGACACTGGCTGGCTGGAGGCGAGCTCGCTGAGCCCAGGGAAGGCCCACCCCAGCTGGGGGGCCCCCCATGTGGCTGCTGGTGGGGGGCAGCTGGCTCAGCCGGTAGGGGGGTTGGCTCCCAGGACTATCAACTGCTGTGCTCAGGTCACTGCCTGGGGCATCACCCTCCACACTGTGGGGATGAGATAAGATGAGCCAGGATGTGGGACCGGGAGATGGGCCTGCTCAGCCAGACTGAACGTGGGTGGACCAGATCCCCTTCCCACAACACCATCCTCCCCAGCTTCCTCACAGACATAGGAACCCCAACTTTTAAAGGCCAGAGGGGAGTTCTACCCTCCCCTCCAAGCTGCCCTTTGCAGTCCCTTCCCTTCAGGCCCCCTTGTCTTCACAGCCCTACCCTCAGTGCCCTTCCGCCCCACCGCTCACAGCTCCAGCTGCTTAGACTCATTTACCTCAAGGCTGGGTCTTCTCACAGGCTTGTCCCCGTTCCTACTCACGCCGCACACCTGGCCCCTTCATGGCTACGTCCCCTCATAGCCTTATCCCCAGACCAGTTTCCTCCTAGTCTTGTCCACTCAAGTCCCTTTTTCTAATAGTCCTGGCCCCTAACAACTCCATCCCCAAACCCTCCTTCCCTTCATGGACCAGTTCCCTCACAGCCCCCACCCCCCCAGTCCCCTTCCCCTCTCAGCTCCAGCCCGCCATGGCTCTGTCCCCAACACTGTGTGCTGCAGTTTCCCTCCCACCCTGATCCCCCAGCACCACCCCAGATCAGCCCTGACCCCAGGCCTGGGGCCCACTCCTGCATCCTGAGCCTCCAGACTCACCCCTCCCCTCCCAAGCCCTACCCCCTATAGCCCCACCCCTGCCCTCAGCTGCCTGGACACTGGCCTAGCCAGTTCCCAGGTTCCCTGGCTGCAAGGGCTCAGGCTCCGAGACAGCGAGAGGCGCCTCCAATTCAGCATCCTCACAGGTAAAGAGCTGCCCTGCGGGGCAATTTCTTTTTTCTCCTCATGGCCTCCTCTGCTCAGCTGAGGGGGGCGCAAAAGTCTTGAGGTTGAAGACTGGCAGGAGCGGGGCACTGGGCCTTGCCTGCCCTGGTTGCCCAGAGCTGTTGTTCCGCCAGACCTGCTCCCATGGTGCCATGGCAACCAGGCTGCCAGGGAACCCAGGTGGCGACAGCGCCCAGGCGCCCTGCCTAGCAGGCAAGGTGAGGAGCCACAGAGGTGAGGAGAACGGAGGAGGGGGGGCCGGGAGGGAAGGGACAGGTGGGTGAGGCATGGGGGTTGTGGGGGGAATGGGTGTGGTGGAGCCCAGAGAATGGTCTGGTTTGGGCAGGCACATGGTTGAGGGGGCTCTTGGCTGGAAAGGCTTAAGGGGCCACTCCCCAACCCCTACTTAGCAGAGGCCAGGGCGCAGGGCAGGGCAAGCTGGGCTGGATGTAGGGGAACTCCCTACCTGTGTAGGAACTTAAGCTGAAGACCTGCCAGCCTTGTGGGAGAGCACTTTGGGCTGGGGGCTGGGTGCAGGGGGGAGGCTGCACCCACCCATCAGGCCAGGTCCTGGGCTGCAGGGGTAGAGCTCAGCTCCACCCTAGAGGGGCACCCCCCCGCCCACCATTCATCCTCCACCCTCCCAACGTCAGTCTATAACATTGCCAGGAGCAAGGCAGAAACAGACTGGGGAACTGCCCTCTACCCCAAATCCTCTCTCCTCCTGGGTCTCAGGGGCTTGTGAAGTCCCACTTTGGGGGTCAGACCTAGTCTAGCCCCTCCCCAACCAACCCCAGCATCTAAGATGCTCCTCAGGACTGAAGGATCCCGCCCACCAATCTTCCAAACCTCTCCCTCTCAGCACACAGCTCAAACACCGGTTTGATCCAATTGTCTCCTCTGTTCATGAACCATCCATAGCTCCCGCTGCCCACAAGAGATAGCCCAAGTTTCTCATTCTGGCACTTGAGGCTTCTCAAAGATACAATAGCTAATGCTTATAGAGCACTTAGCACGTCACGCACTGTTCTTACCACTTCACGTTTAGTAACCTGTTTACTCTTCAAAACAACCCTACGAGATAGATATTGTGATTTATCTTCATTTTATGCATCCAGAAACTGAGGCCCAGAGAGGGTAAGTAACTTATCAGTGCTCTCACAGCTACTGATGCTGGAGCCAGGATTCAAATCCAGGCAGTCTGACTCCAGAGCTCACACTCTTAAACATTCAGCCAGTCTGCAGGGTGAGCTGCCAGCCCCCCACCCCATCCATCTACCCTTCCCTCCAGCCTGGCCCAGATCCTGTTTCTCCCAAATACTCCTCTGCTTCCCACCTCCCAAACTGCTCATACAGTACCTTCCACCTGGAATGCAGTCCCTATCATCTCTGCCATCTGCAATCTGAGAAATCCCCCCACACCCTACTTCTATCAAGATTCAGGTCATATGCCACCACTAAGAAGCCCTCCTGAAGCCCGCCTCCAGCCAGAAATTATTGCTGATCCTGTTCAGAGCTCCCACACACAGCACATGTCTGTCCTTCTTTTTATGGTGCAGGTTAGCTTTGGCAAAGCGTGACAGCTATTTGTGTTCATAACTCCCAGAATCCCAGCACAGGAAGAGAATTTGGTAATCTGTTGCCAGCACCGAGCACAAGGCCTGGAACAGAGTAGCTCGATAAAAGCTTCTGGAGTGAAGGAGTCAATGAATGAGCTCTGGTGGCTGTGCTAATAAATCCTCCCACCTGAGCCTTGACCTCCGCCGCCAGTGTCCTCTTCCTATCCATTCTCCAGCCTGCGGCCAGAGAGAGCCCTCCAAAGTACAGATCTGACCATTTTACTCCCCCACTAGAACCCTCCCACAGCTCCTCAGAACTCATTCAACGAGCAACAGTTGAGCATTTTCCATGTGCCAGGCACAGTGCTGGGTGCTGGGTATATAATAGTGAACAAGACACACAAGATGTGTTCCCTAGGGGAGGTGACATTCTAGTGGGAGAGGCAGACTGTGAATATACACTATCATTTCAGGTAGAGATAAGTGCTAGGAAGGAAAATACGGCAGAGTGATCCAAGGTGCTGTTTTCAACATGGCGGTCAGGGAAGGTCTTTTTGAAGAAATGGCATATAAGCTGAGCCCAGATGGAAGTGAGGGAGTGAGTGCTGGGGTCACCTGAGGCCAAAGGAGTCCAGACAGAAGGTAGAGCCAGTGCAAAGACGTTAAGGTAGAGCAATGCCCGGCATGTTTGAGAAACAGCAAGGAGGCCAGTATTGCTGGAGCGGGGTGAATGAGGGGAGAGTGAGAGGAGGTAAGATCAGAGGGGGAATGGGGACCAAATCGTGAAGGACACTGAGCCCGCGATAAAGACTTTGGCTTTTGCTCTGACTGAGATGAGCAGAAGAGGGATGTGATCTACCTTAGGCTTTATAGGAATCATCACCCAGGGGATAACCTCCAACTACCTCAGCAGAGCGGTGGATGGCTCTCCTGACCTGACCCCTGCCTCATATACCTTCTGCCCCATGACTTCAACCTGGCTACCTCCTGCTCACCCTTCAACATTTAGCTCACATGTGCCCTTCCATGCCTACCTGCCCCCTCCACACGGGTTGGCTTACAGGTCCTTCCTCTGCTGCCATAGGGCTCTATGGTCACCTCTATCCCTAGGGCAAGAGCATTAATGAGCTGACTGAATCCTTGAAACTTATCGACGAAGACGCCATTAGCCCCGTGTTATAGATGAGGACATGGAGGCTCAGAGAGGTGATATAAACTTGCTTAAGGTCACACAGCCTATTAAGTGAGAAAGTCAGGATGCAAACACAGGGCCCAGGCTGTTTTTTCATGACATCTCGCTGCCTCTCGCCACTTCTGGCTCCATGCTGCCCCTGGTTCTCCACTCGTTGGCAATTCTTCCCTTCGGAGCTGGCCCCCAACTTTGGTTGCCAAGGGAAGAGTGGCAGGGGGGTCAGGCTGTCAGCACAGCCTCCCCCAAGAGGGCCTGGCAAAAAGGACAGTGTTTGAGGGTGTTTTTCCTGATATCATACATACTGCTGAAGAGACCAGACCTGGGCATGTGAAATCCCTTTACTCAGGGCCCCCAAAACACTGAGGGGCATGCTGATCGCATGGAAAATCTCTCCTCTCTCTCTCATATGCACTCACAGGTGTGTGCGCGCATGCACACACACACACACACTCATAATACGGGCAGGAAAAAGCTGGGAAGCCTGGCTTCAAGTCTTGAGTGCCATTTACCAGCCGTGTGAGCCTGGGCATGTCCCTTTACCTCTCTGCACTTGTTTTTCATCTGTGCAGGGCTAGAGGGAAACGCAATTCCCTCTTTGGATTCCTGGACTTCAGAAAGGGCCTGGGAGCCCCCCCACCCCACCCCAGACTCCTCCCCACCAGGAGCAAAGAACACAAGAATACAGATACACACAGACACACACATGTGCCTATGTGCACTGTCTTCTGGGCCATTCTGTGCGGGAAACTGAAGCGCATCCTCTGCAGCGGGGGAAATAAACCACGTTACACAAATAACCACAGTACAAAGCTGAAAGTTCTCAAGGCTGGGGAACAGAGGAAGTGCTGGGGGAGCTCAGGAGAGAGATTCCTTCGGCTTGGGGGTGGCTGAGCAGAATAAAAATAAACTCACACTTACAGTGCACCTTCCCCGTGTCAGGCATTTTCCGCACATTATTTAATCTGCACGACAAACGTGAAGGAAGAATTAGGATTCCTATTTTGCAGGTGAGGAAAAAGGCTCTGAGGGGGAAAGTAATTGCCAAAGGTCTCAGAGTTAGCATGTTGCAGAACAGGAATCCAAAGCCCAGAGCCTGGACTAGTTCCCCTGCTGCCTTAGAGGCTTCCCTGGGGAGAAAGCGTTGACCAGGGCCTTGCCTAGGAGGAGCTGGTAGAAGTGAGTGAGTGACCTTGTGTGAGCCAAGGCACTAAGATGGGGAGAAGCAGGGCATGACATTCTGTAGGGATTTAGGGTGGCCTGCCCAAGGCATGGGGCATTGACTCTCCCCAGATGCTGCTCCTAATGGGAGGTCTCTTTCCCTCCTTCCCTTTATTGGCACTGCCCGGAGCCAGGCAGCCAGCAGGGGACAGGATCAGGATGCAGTTGCCATGGAAATGAATGGGGGCTGTCGCTATGGATACCATAAGATGAGGGCAAGAGGAAGCTAGGGATGCTGAGGACTATCCCCATGACAACTTAGGCTGGAAGGGGCGGGGGACCGGAAGTGGGAGACAAGAAAACCAGAGGAGGAGGTCAGCGCACCTAGATGAGAGCAGGGGCTTCGGGCCCTGGAGGAAGACCCTGTCAGGAGACCGGACAAAGGGGTGGGTGGGGCAGAGGGGCGGAGGGACCCCAATCACCTCCGTCTCCTCTGATGGTTCTTCTGCAAGCTGTTTCTGCTGCCCAATCCCAGTGCCGTGGAGATTCCAAACCTGAGGCCAGCCCGGCTTGGCACAGGGGCTGGCAGGGGAGGCAGCCATCATAGGGGCTGACTGGGGAGACAGCAGGCAAACGTGAGCTTGGGGGCACACAGACCTGGGCTTGAATCCCAGCTCTACTTCTTTGCAGCCCTAAAAAGAATTGCTGTCCTTTAATGAGTACCTGCTTTTGGCTAGGCCTAGCCACTCTGCAAGGTCCGGGTTGTTCTCCCTGAAGGAGATAGCAGATGAAGAGACTGAAGTGCAGAGGGATGAAGTAACTTGCCCAAAATCTCAAAGCTCAGCAGTGGTGGAGCCAGGAGCCAAATCAACACTCCTGTTCTTACCCGCCAGCTACCCGCCCCCCCGCCCACCCCCGACACTGAACTGCCCCTCCCAGGTCTGGTCTGCATTCTCCAGCTCCCTGTGCCTTCCCACAGTGACATGCAGAGGGCCAGATGCTGGGTAAATATCTGTGGAGTGTGAGAAGAAGCAACCCAGGAGGAAGCAGGAAAGACTGAGGTTAGATGGAAGAAGTGCCTGACTTCGAGAACAGTGAGTCATGGGTTTGACTGGCCATGGGGAGAAGAGCCACAGAACGGGGATGGGCTTTATGAACCGTCCAATCCCCAAGATCCAAACTGAGGCCCACAAAGTCAAAGTGACGTGCCCAGGGTCGCGAAGAATGAGAACCCAAATACCCTACCTTCCAGGCCAGTGTCCCTGCTTTTAGTGTGAGCGGCGCCTTGAATCTGTCCAGCTCCCCGCAAGCCCTGCGCCTTGAAGTTCCCAGACAACAGCTGGGCAAAGGCAGGCAACTTGCCTTTGCCAGGCTAGCGAGCCCAGTGCCCGTGCTCATACTCTTCCTTTGTTTCTTTTGCCCAGGATGGCCTCCCTCTCCCCTTGGCCCCAGACCTCATCTGCATCTTGCACCACTCTGAGCAGGTGAGCCCTTCCGGAAAGTCAATCCTGACTCACTTCCCACTCCCCCACAGAACCTGACAGGGTCAGCTACTCCCTCCTCTGCGTCTTGTGCACCCTCACGTCACGGGTGGTCCTTATCGGCAGCTAACTTGTGATACCCCCTTGAAGCGTCCCTCCCCTTCCCTGCTCCTGTCTCCCAACGGCAGTGGCCGGGTATGCGTCACACCTCTGTGGACCCTGCATGCCCGCGCCAGGGCCCAGCACACGGCACGTGCTCAGCAGCCATCTTGGTCCCCTAAGACAGGTGGCAGTCGTGTGTGTCTGAGTGTGTGTGACCATCCTGCCTGACAACCGTCACCCTAAAAGCCACAGCCCCACCTGCTCAAAAGCCACCCACACCCGGTCTCGTGATTATCTCTACCCGGCCGACACAGAGAACCTGCCAGGCACAGAAGGCCAGCCCCTCACACAGTCAAACTCACACACACACTCAGAATTCCTCACACCCGGCCACACACAATCACATCCCCTTAGATACATAACAATGCCCAGCCTCTCAGTACTGCTCCACCTGCCCGCCGCACGTAAGGACACGCGCACGTATGCACAGGCACACACACTTCCCTCACAGCTGACAGAAACCTTCCTCCGCCCCCCAGCACAGGCCCTCGGCCAATTCAGTTGCCTACACAGAAGTCCATACCTCATTGGCTCCCACCGTGATCACCTGACCTTGGCTTGCCCTCTGCCTCCATTTAGTTGAACTCCCACCCCCACCCTACTTCCTTGTATCTCCAGTCAGATAAAGGGTAGAACGGTCTCTCTAGCCACAGGTCATCCAGCCTCCCACTCCCTGGAGAGCCAGTTGGACCGAGCAATCTACACACCATTCCCCAGCACAACCCTAGGGCTCCCTGCCAGAGTTTTGTCCAGGCTGTGCCTGTCTCCTGTAATGCCTCTCAAACCCTTCCCAGCCTTCCACTTCTTGCCCCTCCTCCTCCAGCAAGCCATCCCTGACACCACCATCCTCCCTAGCCCACCCTGACATACCCCCTCCTCTTTGGGCCAGGAACAGATGCTGCTCACCAGTGAAGCCGTATCTACTCCATTATTTCTGCCCCTCAGGCCCTGCCTATTTTTCCAAAGGAATTCTCCTCTCCCCTGGGTGACGGAGAACTTAGGGAGAACACAGCCACTGTCTTCTTTTGGAGCCCTCACAGAATTTAGCTTAAAGCCTCGTCAGGGGACGCCTGGGTGGCTCAGTCGGTTAAGTGTCTGCCTTCGGCTCAGGTCATGATCCCAGAGTCCTGGGATCGGGTCCCGTATTGGGCTCCTTGCTCAGGGGGGAGCCTGCTTCTCCCTCTGCCTGCAGCTCTCCCTCTCTCTGACAAATAAATAAATAAAATCTTTAAAAAATAAAATAATAAAATAAAGCCTTGCCCACAGTTAGGTGCTCAAGCAATGCCTTCTGGAACAGTAAAGGAGGGAGAAGAGGAAGAGAGAGGGGGAGCGACAGAGGAAAGTCCAGAGGGAGATGAGAAATAAATTAGAATTTGAATGAGTAAGTGAGTAGATGAGTTGAGAGGCTGAGTGAAACAGAGAGTGAGGGAATAAGGTGAGCCTCTGGGGAAAGGACAGGACCAATGTGATGGGGGTGCTGAAGGGAGGGCTGAAAGAAAGGACGGGGCGGGGGGGGGGACTCTCTCGTGGGCTCTAATCAAAGCAAGAGCCACCCGTCACTGCACACTTGCCCAACTGTGCACCAGACCCTATGCTGGGCTCCTTGTGTTTCCTTGTTAATCTTCACGATAACCCACAGAGGTAGATACATTCTCACTGTGCTCGGGAGGAAAATGAAGCTCAAGGAGAAGAAAATACTTGCTCAGGATTACACAGGCAATAAGTGAGAGAACCAGAAGGTAAACTCAGATTTGTTCAATGCCACAGGCTTAGAAAGGGAGAGCCGGGGTATGAGCCCGCTTTGGGGGGGGGGGCGGTCTCCTGACTTTGCTCCCACCGAAGACACATTATGGAAGGTGTGGGTCCTACAGTCCGAAAAGGATACCTTCCACCCTCCTGCCAACAGCCTCCAGGAATTCTTAGAACTCGCTCCAGGAAGGTGCAGGAAATATTTAGGTCATTGCATCTGGAGGAAATGGCTTCCCCTTAGATTCAGAGACCCCTAAAGTTGTAGAATCGGAACCTTGAAAGTACAGAATCAAGGACTCTCACCATCACAGAATATTAAAATCATACCATCAGAAACTTTTCAAAATAATAGAATCATGAAATCCACAGGATTGGAGACTTCCCCAAATCGCAGTGTTGTGGAAATAGAAACCACAGAATTGCATGGAATGTGTCATTGAATTATATTTTAAACGCATGTAATCATACTTCCTTAAAACTGTCGCATTTGAGATCGAAAGAATGTTGGAGCTGGAGGAGCCCTTGGAGATCCTCTGATCCAACCCCCCTCCTCCTTTCACACGCGGCAGGGGTGGGGGGGGGGCGCAGAAACTAGGTAGCACAGGGGCCGAGCGGTGTGTCTGGGCTGGCCAGGCTGACGGGCTGGAGAAGGCAGCAGGCTTGCCCGTGGTGAGAGCGCCACAGCACTCATTCATTGAGTGAGTGAGTGCCTGCCTCTTGGGTGCTGGCAATACCAAGAATCGAACCCTACTCTCTCTCCCAGGCCCTGTCCCCAGCCCTGGATAGGAAAGAAGGGAAAGCCCTGGTGGGGATGCGGAGAGGGAAGTGGGGGGAAGGGTGGAACATACATCAGACAGAGAGAAGAGATCAGCTTTTATTGATGGCAATTCCTTTGTACACAGCGACACGCGCACTCTGAAAGGCCTTTTCCTCCTGACCACACTTACAGAGCGCTGTGGGAGTGGCAGGGGGCATGGGACGAGGCCTTCAAGCAGCAGAGGGGATGGCAGCAATGGCCACAGCGAGGGAACGAGCAACGGGGAACTAGGCAGGCCGGGTCCCGCCCCCGTCTGGTCCTCTGAGCCCTAGGCACCCTGCATCTCTGTTTGTGCTCACAGAGGACAGAGGTAGGTCCTTGGGATGTCATTTGGAGACCTCTCCAGGAGTGGCAGGCTCCAGGGTGCCTGGGAAGTGGGGTGCGGGTGCAGGAGGGTCCAGGTTCCAAGCTCCAAGCTCTGCTGCTCCCACATTTTAGTCAGACCTAGGGCTCCAGCCTTTATAATTGGTGGCTGAAGTCCAGGGGAGACAGCAGTGGGGCGGGGGGAGGGTGTGGGAATTCCAAGGAGGTGGGGGAGGAAGGGGCACGATGCTTGCCCATCCTGAAGCAGGGACAGGGTCCCATGGGGGATCGCGGGCTGGGGGGGCTGGTTAAGGCTTTTGCTTCTGCATAGAAAATGACCCTTGTCCTCTCAGTTACCGAGAGGAGGGACTACTGCACTCGGAGGCCGGACAGCAGAACTGATGAGCGTCTTCCTCTTCCTCTTCCTCAGTCTCCTCCTCCTCCTCCTCTTCCCTGGGGCCAGGAAGGGCAGGGTAGAGGCCACAGGCGGGCGGGTGACAGAGAGAGGCAGAGGCATTAGTTTGCAGAGCAGGGGAGATACATGAACGGCTTTGGAACCAGGGTGGCGGGGCTAGGATGGGGGTCTGGATGAGGAGTCCACTGTCACAGATTATCTAGGGCCACGCCCAACTCAGTCTCCAAGGAGCTGCAACAGCCCTCCCCCACACCCAAGCTGGGCTGGCTTAAGGTCATGCCCAGAGAATACCAATTCCATTTCGGACCTGACAGGCGGCCCAACCTTCATTTGAAAAGAAATAGTAGCAGCGTGCTCGGTGCTGGCTCTTTGCAGACATCACTCATTTAACCCCTGCAACAACACGGCAACATTTTAGAGATGAGGGAATTGAAGCTCAGAGAGGCTGAGATAACCTGCCCAAGGTCACATAGCTGGGTGGGTGGTAGAGTTGGGAGTTCAGCCTGGAGTTCTCAGAGCTCCAAGTCTCAGGCTCATCCCACTGGGTCCTTGAGGTGAACTTGGCACTATCTCTAGAAATTTACCCTGCCCTTGAAGGACAAAGATTTGTATCTCCTGAACGCTCAGGGTCGGGGAAATTGGTGATGCTCGGAGATGGGGTGTGGAAAGCCCACAGCTTTGGAAGCAAACGGACCTGGGTTCCAACACCAGCTCTGCAAGTGCTTCCAGGCTATGTGCCCAGGCATGCTATTGCCCCTCTTGAAGCCTCAGGGTCCTCATCTGTAAAAACGGGGCTCGTGATGCCAACCCCACGGGACTGTTGCAAGGACTGGAACATACGTCAAGTGCCTGGCAGAGAAGAGCAACAGGAACATGGTGGCGGTTCTTGTTAACTGCTCGGGAACTGAATCTGTTTCCCAAGGCGGCCACTGGCACCCACACGGAAGCGCCACGGTGGCAGGGAGGAGATGGTGAGGGAGCAAGCTCCTGTCCCCGGGGTACTGTGGATGGCTACCGGGAGCCAGTCTGCGCGCAGCAGGCCCTGGAGCCGGGCTACGGTTGCGCGGCGTGGATGGATGGACAGTAGGGCTCAGGGGGTCCAGCTGCCTTGGGAATGGAAAGGCTGCTCCTCTGGAGATAGCTGATGAAACAGTATTGCCCTGCTCCCAGACCCCTTGGCTCAAGAGAGGCAGGAGGTATGGAAGCCAGGCGACTGGAGGATTGGGAAGAGATGAGAAGGAAAGAGGACAGGGACAGGCAAGGGAAGGCACTGCTGTCCATCGGACAGGCAGACGAGCCCACACACGTGCACATAACACACACACGCACACACACGCACACCCCACTCTTCATACTCAAAGCTCCCTCTGACACATTGTTCCACAGAGTCACTGAGTCAGCAGAACCACGTGAAGCAGAGCTCAAGCCCGGGGCGAGCAGCTCGCCCTTTCTGAGTCTCCCATTCCTTATCTAGAAAAGGAGAAAATGCCACACCTCTCAAGGCTGTCATGGAGGACAAGTGATCTTCCAGGCCACCCCCCCCTCCCCTCGCATCCAGGTCAGGCCTCTGCCACCCCTCACCCCGGCCCTGCGGTCACCTCCTGATTTCTTCTCTCTACTCTTTTGGACCCATTAGCCTTCCTAATAAAGTCAGCAAGCATGAATCTCTTGCTTGTCTCTGCTTAGACACCCACCTTGGCTCCCCGATGCTTCCTGGATAAAAGGTCAGACTCTTCAACTTGGCATTCAAGGCTCCCCCACCATATGGCCTCACTTGGCCTTCCTCGTCCGGTGGAGAAAGCATGGGCTTTAGAGTATGACAGACCTGGGTATGACTATCAGCCCCACCTCCTACCAGCTGGGTGACCTCGGGTCCACTTCTTTACTTCTCTAGGACTTATGTTCCTCATCTACAAAGTGAGCAAATGCCCATTCCACAGGGAGTGGTGGGATTAAATGGATTCAAGTATATCGAGCACCTGCTACAGGGTAGGTTTGGTGCTTTATACACAGTAACTGTTATTATTACTTTCAGTATCAGTGGCTCACTTCATGCTCAGCCTTCATCAAACCAGCTCGTTCATTATTCCATCAGGATGACTGGCCTTTTCACACCTCTGTGCCTTCGCTGACTCTGTTTCTTCCTTCTGCACACATCTTCCGCTACTGAAATCCCATCTGAACATTATGGCCCGGCTTAAATGCTGCTTCCTGCAGGAAGTCCTCCCTGACTCTCAAGCAGAAGTATCCCTTGCTTCCTCCTAGCTCCCCCATTCCTGCCCTTGGCGGTTGCTCCAAACTCCACTGAAGCATTTCTTTCACCAACCCCCTCAACGCCCTTGTCTTCGCCCCCACTACGCCTGCTCTGCCTCTCTGTGAGAAAGAGAGGGCCCCCATATTATTTAAGGCCAGCCCCTCCACTCGGGCTCTGGTGCCCACCCCTGCTACCTCCTCCACAACAATCATCCCCTCTCCCTCCTGTGTTTCAACCTCTCTCTCTCTCTCTCTTTCTGTTGCCTCCTTCTTACCAACATTTATAGAAGCTCAAGTCTCTCCCATCTGGGAATAAAAACCCTCTATCTGCCCCCACATCTCCCTCTAGCAATCACTGTCCCTCTCTCCTCTTCACAGCTAAGCTTCTTGAGAAATTCATCTCCACTGGCCATCTCCACTTCAGTACCTCCCACGAGCTCTCCAACCCACTGCAATCTGCCTCATGCGCCCACCCTGCCACCGAAACTGTTCTTAGCCAGGTCGCCGAGGACCTCCTAGTGGTTAAAGCCAATAGACTCTCTCCCACCCTCATCTTCCTTCCCCCAGCTGTAACATTTGCCACTCTTAACAAGCCCCTCCTGTGCACGCGGATGGCTCTTTCCTTCCTCTGCTTCCGTGAGCCCACTCCCTGCTGGTTTTCCTCCTACTTCTCTGACCACCCCCATCTCTTCTTCCTCTCCCCATCTCTTCTGTGTTGGTCCCTCTTCCCCAGTTCTGCTCTGGTCCTCTTCTCTTTCATTCCATACCCTTTGCCAGCAGTCTCACTCCATTGCTTAACCTCAGGGATGGCTTAGGACCCCTCCCCCATCCCCATCTCTGTCTCATGGATCCCTCTCCTGGGTCTCAGACCCATCAAGCCTAATGCTTGCAGGAAGCTCCACCAGGATGGCCTTTAGGGCCTTCAGAGCTCACGGGGACCTCAAACTCAGCATCTTACCACTGCAAACCTGTCCTCTGCATGTTGCACCTTAGTGAAAAGCACCACCATCCACCCAGTCGCCCAAGCCCAAAACACACCTGGGAGTCATGCTAGGTTGCATGCTCCCTTAACAAGTCAGTCACCAAATTCTGCCGATTCCACCTCCTCATCTTCTACTCCTCTCACTCCTTGTTGGCTCTTTCTCCAATCACACTGGTCTCCCTGCTGTCCCTCGAACATGACCCGCACACTCTTGCCTCGGGGCCTTTGCGCTCCACGTTCCTTCTGTCTGGAACATCATCCCCCAGAGAGGCGTGGCACCAGACACATTCTATACATTTGGTTGCTTATTTATTTATTATCCATCCACCCACCGTAAGATCCATCAGGACCAGCATCTGTTCTGTTCAGTGCTGTATTCCCAATGCCCAGCACAGCGTCTGGCGCTCAATAAATATTTGTTGAATGAATGACTCCACTGCCAGACCTGAACACTGAAACTCACTGTGAATTCCAACCTCTGCCATCTCCACTCCCTCCCACCCCCACCATTTATTCAGCCTACTACTCCAGTTCTCTCCTCCTCCCAGTCACCTCTCAAATGCATCTCCTCTGCTCTCTCCCCACAGCCACTACCCAAGCTTATCTCTCTCTTGGATTACCACAGCAGCCTCCTCCCTAGTTTCCCTTCCTCTAAAAAGCCTCTTCGACTAGTGTCATTTTGCCTCCTCAAGAACTGCTCAAGGCTTCCCAGCTGCCTACCGTGAAGAAGGAAGCAGGCCTAAGCTCCGCCCCCTCCCTCATTCAGTTTCACCATCCCTCACCCCTGGGCCTTGGTGTGCTCTCTCAGAGCATCCTCCCCCATCTCTAGCTCTCCAAATCTTTATGGACCTTGAATGATTGACTCAAACACCACTTTCTTCAGGAAACAACCTGACTCACAAACCAGACGTAAATCCTCTCCAAAGTCCATAGAGTGTTAAGTGTCTCCAGCGTCACTCTGGGATCTCCAACAACCGAGTAGGATGGAAGTTAGTAACCACCAAGGACATTGCGTGCTGGGTAAGCATTAACAGAGGTTCCCTTTTCCTCTTGCACTATTACCCTGGATTCATGTCCCTGTGGCCCTCTGCTAATGCCAACATATCCTTGTCTCTTCCCTTTCCTTCACCTTCTATTGGGTCTCTCATTAATAACTCTCAAAGGCTTTTGATTCCATAATTTGAAATTAAAATGTTTCTATATGACCAGTGCCCAGTGGAGTAGTGCAACAGGGTAGTTCTGCTCAAATCCATTCCCTTCTGTGCCAATACCCCAGTTTAGGCCCTCCAGCTGGCCCCCATGCATACAATCCATTTCTCATACCGAATGCTAATGTGATGTTTCTAAAACACAAATTTTACCAAATTTCTCTCCTATTTAGAATCCATTCCCATGACACTTTGTCACTAGCCACATTGGTTCCTGACCTTTTTGGAGTAACACAAACCCTTTATGCATATAACGAAAGCCATGGAACATCTCCCCAACAACAACAACAAAAAAGCCCATAGGTGCACACACAAAACATTTTGCACTCAATTCAGGAGACTCATGGACCACCTGAAGCCCATGCCACCCAGGTTCAGAACCTCTGGCCCTACCCAATAACATCTAGGTTCTTCTGCATATACCACTCCTTCTGCCTGAAATGTTCTTCCACACTTCACCCTTCTGTCCCTGACTACCTCTTACTCATCCTCTAAGACTCAGCTCTTAGGCTGAGTTGACCTGTAGCAGTCCTGGACCAGGCCAGATCCCTTCCTTTGGGCTTCCACAGCACCCACCCCCCGCCATAAGCCCCTCTATCATAGACATCCTTGGTCTCCCCAACTAACTGGGGACTTGTGGAAGGCAAGAACCATTACCTAGCATAGGCCCTGGCTACAGCAGAACTCCGTAAGTGTCTACTGAGATGAACACTAAGAAGAGCTAGGCTTTTTTTGAGTACCCATTATGTGCCAGGCACTCAGCAACTGATCTCATCTATCAAACCCCTGATGTTGGTGGTATTGTGTTTCTTTCAACAGATAAGGAACTAGGCTCAGAGATGTGAGGGGAGTTGTTTATGGTCACCCAGCTAGTGAGTGAAAGAACTGGGAATGAAATGGAGATGTGTTAGTACCAGTGCAAATACTGGTCCACCATACTTCCCTGCCCTGGACTGTGAGACTGGAAGATGGGAGCAATAGAAGAACAGGGCCAACAGCCAGGGCCAGAATGCCCTGTCTGGGCTCCATTTCCCAGGCCACCTGCCCATTTTTTTCCCTCCTGTGTCACCTTCATGGCAAGACCAGAGATGTGGCTCTCTCTTCTTATAGTGCAATCCCCTCTATCCCATGCACTACTCTCAGCCTTCTCATCTCAAAGCCCCACTATGGTCAGGCCCATTCTTTGCTCCAGAACCATCCCCAGATCCAATCCAATCCAATGCTACACACTTGGCTATGAGGAACAGAAGACCCGGGTGGTCCCTTCCCTTCAAGAGCTGACAGTCACCCAGGAATTTTACATGTACCATCTCCAATCCTAAATCAGCCCGGAGAGGTAAGTAGGCATTATCCTCACTACATAGATGAGGAAACAGAGGCTCAGAGGTTAAGTGGCCTGCCACAGTCATAGAGTTGGTAAGTGGTCAGACTTAGATTTGAATAAAGAAAGGTACTGACTCAACTATTTTCCCCCATTAGGTCATCCTGCTTGGAAGAGCCAAAAAGTAGGCAAGACCCCTTCTGGCAGCGTTGGGGGATGAAGGAAAGCTATTACTCTTCAAGACTCAGTACCCATGTCCCCTCCTGTAGGGGACAGATGGGATTAGGTGCCCTTCCTCAGGAAGCCCTCTGAACCTACTTCTGTCCCATACCAAACCACACTATGCTGTCATTGTCTATGTGTCTCTCCCTTCTAGACTTGAGCTCCCTAATGGCAGGACCAGATACAATTCAGTCCTGTATCCCACAAAGGTTCAGCACAAGGCCTAACCAAGGGTAGGCAAGACAAATCTCACTGAATGAATAAGGTGGTATCTGAGCTAGTTATTAAAAGGAAAAGCAAGATCTGAACAACTGGGGCGCCTGGGTGGCTCAGTTGGTTAAGCGACTGCCTTCGGCTCAGGTCATGATCCTGGAGTCCC